AGTGGCAGAAAAGTATGTTAGACTGGTACAGGACATGTATGAGGACAATGGTGAGATATGCTGTATGAGCGACTGTAGTATGTCAGGACAGCTGTTGCTGTGGACATCCTATTAATTAATTATTCTTAAGGCTATTTCAAGCACAAAGAATATTAAATATTTAATTAACAACGGATTCTTTCTTTTTTTAGTTAAATTTCGGCCATGTGACCAAGATAACTTGAGAGTGGAGTGTATAATTAGTGACATGAGACGTCATTTATCTTTGACCCATCAGAATAAATGCGGTCATTTATTTAACAGAATCAAAATTTTACATCAAACATGTACACTTGATTTGCTGATCTATTTCTGATTAATAAACTTTTAGCAAGTTCAAATAACAAGACAACAGAGGATTACTGATGGAGAATAATTCATCTCTGAAGGCATTTAGCTTGATTTACTAGCAAAGAGGTTTCAAGAGGATAGATTTAGAGGTTTTAAAGAGGAGAGATTTAGATGGATGGATGGAAGTATGTTGACCAGGAATGGCAACTTTCATCCGACCCCAGCTCAGCCCCGGTACACTCGGTGCGTGACGACTCGTGATGACTCGTTACCTGGGCAGAAGATAAATCAGCTCCGGAACAGAGGTCCATTTCCACGCTACCTTTCAGCGTCTCCGGTCAGAGTGGCTGAGAATCATCAGAAGTAGTGTCAAGGTACTCCACTCAACAGAATAAGCTTCCTTAGAAGTTGAGAGCATTTAATGCTCGGGGTGAGATCACAGCGAGGCGTGCTGTGACTCCACTGAAATGGACGGACCCTTGGCTCATGGTCCAATATCCATCAGCTATTTAGTTCAGCTGTAAGACTCCAAGCAAGACTGCAGTCCCAGTAAGAACTTTAAAGTTCCAGTAAGTGTTGACTTTTAAAGGGTATCCACTTCCTGTTACTTGGTACTTCCTGATTGGTTAACACAACCAGCAGGGGTGGAGTTTTAGTGATGTCAGAGGGTTATTAGAAGTCACAGACAGCAGACATGTTTTTAAGAACGGTTAGTAACAGACAGGAAAATATTTTGAAGAAGTGAGAGACTTGCAGGCGCCAGTTCTTATTTACTGTCTGAGAGTTTTAAAACAAGGCACTTCGTTCTCATAACTTGTTCTCTGACTTTTGACAGACATTACAACTCCACTCCTCATTCAGACAGAAGTGTAAAATGCACAATTACTTTGTAAATAGACATTTAACATGTATGATCTAAGTCTAATGAGGTTTAAAAATCATTAATACTGTTTCACAGTTGATTTAAATGAGTAGTTTACTTCAACATTAGAAATGGTATGAACTGAACACACTTTTGATTATCAAGATATTGTAAAATAGTAATGATAATATAAAAAAAGAAGAGTGTTCTTTCAATTGATTAATTCAGGATACAATTAAATAGTCTCTTGATGAGATAATTTGTGTTCTGGATTCAAATCAATGAAATAACAGTTCCTGTCCCCTGAAGGTCTTCAGAGACAGATTGATGTAGGAGGTCTAGTTCACTACAATATGACTGCTGACATATATCCTTCATCAAAATTTAAATTTAAGGTTTTCATTTGGATGGCATTAGTGAACAAGTGATAAAATAATTATTAAAAAAGCTCAAATCATCTCTATCTGTGAACCACTGTGGTCTAATCCCAGTCCATTTAACTGAACGCGAATCACTGGGAGGTGCATTGTCAGTGACAGCCATTCTAATGAACCACAGGGATTCATTAAAATGAATGAGTTTGGCTTATAAATTTGACAAGTCCTCCAAAAGTTAATTGAATATCCATCGTCTCACTGTGTACTCATTATTTAGAGAACAATGTGTGTCACAATGCTTCCTGAATGTGTTTATACAGTACCAAGTCATTTACAAGAGCTTTACGAGACACATTTGTATTATGGTAATATGTTTTTGCATCATTCAGAAAATTAAAAGTGCTGACTGTGTTTAATAAAGTCACACTCCAGAAATACTAAACAAAAAACTTCCAGGTTTGACTTGGCACTGTGGCGACTGTTTAAATCTTATTTTGGGAGTAAAGATTGTGACAAACATTGATAATGCCTGAACAGACCCACAGTGCAAACCTCAGAAATGATCCTAGAATTTGATAAAAGTGTAGAATCTATTTGTTAGTCTTTGCATACAGCTCTACATGATATTCCAGAAAGCACTACAGCATCTCCTGACAGGATGGTAACAAATCAAACTCATGAGCAAAGTATAGACTGTCACCCAGAAAAAGAATGAGAAAAACATTCAGAAAATGGAGAAATGGTTTCTGTCATTGTTGAGAGTTTAATATCTAATGTAAACATTTATCTTCACAATTAACAAGAAAACTCTAAACTGTATGTTTTCTAAGAACTGAAGCAATGCAGCAAATTGCCAGACCTGTTTATTGATGAGGCCAAGCAGGGATCCAGTTTGTTGTGTTGACGCTCCAAAGACTTTGAGACAACAGAGATGTTAGCATCACTTAGTTCAGTTGTAACGTTACCCAGTCGCGAGTGGAGTTCAGGAATGAATTAAAACTGAATAAAATAAATATATCCATCCATTATCTTTTACCTGCTTCTTCATTTTTGGGTGACAGGGATCACTGGTGCCCTTATTCAGTTGTCTCTGTGCAAAAGGTGGGGTCCACCCTGGACAGGTTGCAAGTCCACCACATGGACACATAGAGACAAACGAGACAACAACCATTTTACTCTCTCACTCACACCTAGGGACAATTTAGGCTGATTTAAACCAGTCAGCCTAAAATATAGGTTTTTGATATGTGGGAGGAAACTGGAGTATCTTGAGAAAACCCATGCATGCACTGAGGGAACAAACTCCACCCACCGGGATTTGAACCTGTGATCTGCTTGCTAAGAGGCGGCAACTCTACCAACTGTGTTACTGTGCCACCCTAAATTAAATATATGTATATTTCACTTCAAACAACTGCTGAGTTTTATTCTCTAATATTAATATAAAATGTAAAACTGGAATTTGCAAACTGTCCAGGGACAATCATCTGCACTGGGATTCAGAGGTTTGTCACTAATTCAGCCTGAGTAATTTCTCTTCTTCTCTTGTTCTAAAATGCCATATTAGCATATTTGAAATGATTGTCCTGCAAATAGTCTAAGTGTGTCATAATCACTCAGTCAGGCTCTTCTCCATCAGATATGTTCTGCAGTTTTTTGTAACTCACTGTGTTACTGAATTTTGGCAAAATGAAGCATCGTTAAATGGATTATATCATGATTACATACATGAAAATACACCAGAACTGTGCATGTTTAAAAAAACTATATATTTAATATATTTAAAGCCCTTTGTATTATTTAGTTAAACTTATTTCAAGCTGATCTCTTCAGTGTTGTTTTTTTCTTTTTTGCTTTGCTTTCATGGAATTGACAGTTGTTTTTATAAGTAACTGTTCCTATTTATTTTATTTTATTTTGTGTTGGTTAAAACAGCCTTACAATTTTATATATATATATATATATATATATATATACGTATATATATATATTTTTTTTATTTTTTTTTATTGCACAGACCCCTGAAAAAGTAGAACCATAAACTGAATTTTCAAAGGACAGAATGGTGGTAACAATCAGTCTTTTTCCTAATAATCCTTGTATAAAGCATTGGTTTATTAGAAAAACAATTAGAATTTAAAGTTATAACTCGGGTGGAATTTCCCCCTCATTATTGAGGGTGGGGGAGTGAAGAGAGTGGGGCCGCTTAAGGTAAATGTACTGTCATAAAAAGAAAAGAAAATTAAACATTAACTGTCTTTATTCTATTTACAAAACAATAAAACTATACAAACTACTTTGTATATGAGCAGGTTCTTAAACATCTGATATGCATCCTTACACAATGACAAAGTCAAAAAGAGAAAAAAAAATGTACACAGAGAGTGTCCAGTGTTGCCAAAAAAACATGTTAACAAAAACTATCCTGGGGTCAGTGTTAATTTTCAGTCTTTTTGTATCCTCAATGTAAAAATAAATAAATGAAATCAGCCACATATATGGAAGTAATATCAGAGTCAGAGTCTCTTTATTTGTCATTCACACCACATGTGGTACATGGGGTGGAACAAAATTGTGTACACAGGGTCCCAGTTACATCCAACAAAAGTATAAAATGTAAAAGAAAAACAGTAATAAGATCTAAGATATGAACTAAGAAAAATGTTAACTAAAATATGCTAAGCACTAATAGTACAAATATGCTATTATGGAATAAATTAGTATAATATTCAGTTTCACATGATGCTCCTCCATCCTTCCATCAATCATTCAATCCATCCGTCCGTCCGTCCGTCCGTCCGTCCGTCTGTCTGTCCATCCACCTGCACGTGTTCTGAAGTTGAGTCCTGGGAGCAGCAGCTTGAGCAGGGAGGCATCTCTTTCCATAGCTACCTCTTCCAGCTCTTCTGGGAGGACTTCAAAGCATTCCCAGGCCAACAGAGAGACAGAGTCATATC